CCCCAAAACCCCAAAACCCCAAAACCCCAAAACCCCAAAACCCCAGAAAGATTGATTTTTATTGAATTTATGAGATTAATGAGATTATTACATGATTGCCGACTTTTTGAGTTCAATAAGTTTATCATCTTCTCCCAAAAGCATTTTGCTAAATTCTTCAAATGAAATTTTTCCATCCCTGGAATCATCATGTTCAGTTATAATTTCTTGAATTTGCTTTTTAGTGAGAGGGCTATCGAGCTTGTGGAATGCCTCTTCAAGGTTTTCCTTGGTGATATAGCCTGAATCGTCAGTGTCAAACTCCCTAAAGAGCATGACTAGCCTATTCTCATTGAGTAATTTCCTGGCAGTCATAGTTGCAGCAAGGAACTCAGTGTAATTGATACTGTTATTTCCTTTATGATCAATCTCGTTAATAATAGCTTCTATCCTATCCTCAGGGAAATTAATATCTGACTTTTTCAAAGCCTTCGATAATTCTTCAGCATCTACTTGGCCAGTATGGTCTTCGTCCAGTTTTTCAAATTCCTTCCTGAGTTTATCAAATTCTTTGGCGTTACTTGTCTTAACGAATAAATTCATTGCTGCCTTCTTAAATCTGGAGCTACCTTTGAAGTTAGTTAAGTTTTCCAAAATATCTGGGTCAAGTGGGTCTAACTCCTCGTCTTCCTTCATGTTATTAGCAACTTTGAACCAGGAGTGCTTTAGACACTGCTCAGCATTGAACCTCTTCTTGGTGTTTACCTCCAACATGTTTTTGATGAGTTCTATTGCTTCAGGACTGACTTTCTTCCACTCTTTCTGTTTGAATGAGTATTTGGCTTCTTTTATTTTATCAAAAACATCTGCTACGGAGGTTCCTCCAAAAGGAAGGTACCCACTGAGAAGGATGTAGAGGATAACTCCGAGAGACCAGATGTCACACTTGAGGCCGTACTTTCCCTCAAGGACCTCTGGAGCTACGTAGTAGGGTGTCCCAACTATTGTATGCATCTTTTTGACCTTTACCTGCTTTGAGAGTCCAAAATCGATTAGTTTCAAGTCTCCGGTTTCGTTTACCAAGATGTTTTCAGGTTTGATATCTCTATGGGCTATGCCTAAAGAATGGCAGTGGTTTACAGCTCTTAATAAGCGTCTATGGATCATGCTGGTAATACTTACCCCATCATATCGGCTGCCTCAGACTCATTAAAGGCGCCTTCGTTCTTGGCTTTCTTTGAGATCATGTTGAAGAGCTCGCCGCCAGGGCAGTACTCCATGACAATGTACATAAATCTGTTATTCTCAAATGTCTCATAGTACTTGACGATGTTTGAGTGATCAAGAGATTTCAGGATGCTGATCTCGTCCTTCAGAGATTCAATGTCGTCACCCAGTTTAGATTTTGAAATGACCTTGATAGCTACCTTAAAATCAGGATCTTTTGTAGACGAAGCCAGGAATACCTTCCCAAAAGCACCAGACCCAAGAATATTCGTCTCAATTTTGTACTTCTTCTTGATCTGTGTAGTGGCTCCTTCCTTCTTGGCAGGTTGCTTGGCGTTATGTGTTCCACCTGAGTTAGTTCAGCCCATTATTATATTTATATTTCATATTATTCTGCTTTAGTGCAGTTAGTAGGGGTTTTGGGGTTTTGGGGTTTTGGGGTTTTGGGGTTTTGGGG